GGCTTAAGCAGAGAAGGAAAACTTGTGTCTTTATGGACTACCAAATGAGACATGGGAGGTTAATCTTCCCGTTGAAGAGGTCCCTCCTGAGCTTCCTGAACCAGCGTTAGGCATCAATTTCGCAAGGGACGGAATGCAAGAAAAAGACTGGATATCTTTGGTTGCTGTTCACAGTGATTCATGGCTTATCTCTGTTGCATTTTACTTTGGTGCACGTTTCGGATTTGGTAAGAATGAGAGGTAAGATTCTTTCTTTGCTCAGTGTTCTATGTTTGTTAATTTTGCTTATACACATGTTTGGTAAAGCTTCAGTGATTATTATAGTAGCTGCATTATTCTAGCATCCAAATACCGTGTAATTGTTGTTGGTGCTACTAGTGACGATCTCTGGCACACTATCTTGAAACTCATGTTATCTTGTTTCTGTGAAAAAACCTGAAGAAGTGATCATCATTTTTTTCTACTCTTTCACTTCAGTAGAAAAAAGTGAACCTACAAGTGTTGTGAATTCACCAAGCTGAACCAAATTTATTGAGATTTAAAAATTCAGGTCAAAGATCATGTTTGTTGAACAGTCAAATAACAGTGTTTGTTTTCTCTGATATTGTAGACTCAAACCGTTAGTTATCTTGCCTCTGAGCTTATTAATTTCTTTCAGGAAACGGCTCTTCCAGATGATAAATGATCTCCCAACCATTTTCGAGGTTGTAACTGGCAATGCAAAGCAATCCAAGGATCAATCTGCTAACCACAACAGTAGCAGAAGCAAATCTAGCAGTGGCAAGGTAGAAGCTTCTGTTTTCTCCATTTTTTGTTTCTCTCTCTCAGTCTATCTATCTCTGTTGGGTTCTTATCTCTATTTACTTCTTTGTTTTCTCATGCAGCCTCGTCATTCTGATACTCACACTAAGGCTTCAAAGATGTCCCCACCACCAAGAGAAGAAGATGAGAGCGGAGATGAGGAGGAAGATGACGAACAAGGTGCTGTTTGTGGCGCATGTGGAGACAATTATGGAGGAGATGAGTTCTGGATATGTTGTGATGCTTGCGAGAAATGGTTCCATGGAAAATGCGTGAAGATCACACCAGCAAAGGCTGAGCACATCAAACATTACAAATGCCCAAGTTGCAGTACCAGCAAGAAAATCAAAGCCTGAAAGTGATAATAACATTAGAGACTGTGAAAGAGGAGAACGTTTTCACAGTTGAAGAAAAAGACAGAACAAGAGTTTAGCTGTGGGAAGAAGAAGAAACAAAAGGCTTCTGATTGCGTAGTTTTAATGGGATTGAGACAGCTTACAGTTAGTAATGTCTCTTTCTCTCTTTTTTTTTTTTTCTTTTTTTTTTTGCTGTTAATGTTAAAATGTTATGACTAATTTGAATTATGTTTCTGAGAAAATTCTGTCTTTAAGCACTCTTTAGTCTATGTCAAGTGGTTTTTTCTTCTTGATACCTAACTTACTTTACAACGTTGGCTCCTAAAGCCTGATGAAACTCATTGAGCCAATTACCTCATAGAACTTCACATTCAATCACAATATGTTGAAAGGTTATATCTTTAGATTCTCAAAGTCCCTCTCTGTTTCAAAAATGTCACAAGCATTCGATTTACTGCAGCCTTAAGATGGCTCAGCCTCAGGGCTATGAAAATTTCGATCAACAGATACATAGGAAAGAGCAGGTACAAGGCGAAGGCCGCACAGAGAAACAATAGAGGGTTTGGTGAGATTACAGCCATAGCAAGCGCATAAGAAACTCCCAGAGACGCTCCAATCCAGAAGAACCATGTTGTAAACAAGCTACCGATTGGTAGGAGACAAAATGTGTAGAGTAGAGCGCAACAGAAGCCTATAGTGTTAGAAACCCAAAGGACGATGAAGAATGTCTGTTTCATCACTACGGTACCACCACCCTCGGATTGGTTTACACCTCCAGGAGGCTGAAGTGCGGTTTGATATGTAGATGTAATTATCAAAGTGCATATAATCAAGAAGACTGCACGGCCTTCTTCTGAAGTGTCTGACCTTAGGCGTCTGATGCCAATGGAGCAATGAGTCAAGAAAGTGACTGGTGACTTAAACTGATCAGACGGTTTCTCGAGTTGCGGAAGAGAAGCCGCCTCCTTGCACCCGGTCTTTACAACAACTTGTTCCAAATCCAAGTCTCTACTCTGTCCCTGGTTTTTTAAGATATCAAGAAATGTTAAATCATCCCTATTTACTTCGTTCAGTTTCACCCGCTGACATTCTAGCAGCCGTTTTACCGCCTGCATACATATATTCTACAGTCAGTCCAATTATGACACAAAGTGAACCATTCAGAAAATCATACAAAACTAAAGAAAAATTGAGGCTTTGCCTGATGATCTTCCTTATATGCTGCAAGATGCAAAGGTGTGTTGTGAGATAAATCTTTTTTATTTAAGATATCAGATTCGATGGAAGCAGAATCTCTTTGGCTCATTCTTTGGATCCAACCGGTGAGGACTTGAAGAATTTCAAATCTATCATTCATCACAGCAAGGTGAAGAGCGTTATGGCCATTCACACTCACATCTTGAATACATTCAGGGCAAGACTTGAGACACTCTGCTACAAGATTTACGTCTCCTTTAACCGCTATGAGATGGAAAGGTGTGATTCCTTCTCTCCCTTTAACTCGAGCAAGTCCGGGATCAAGCCAGAGCATCCACGTTATGAACTCTCTATGATCTTTTTCCACAGCAAGATGCAATGGACTGTACCCACTTGTGTTCAGCTTTCTGGCAAACGATGGCTTAAGATTCAGCATCTCCATGGCAAATGGAATGTTCCCAGAAGCTGCAGCTACGTGGAGAGGAGTGTTGACAAATGGCACGGCATTGATGTTATCAAGAATGTAAGGATTCTCATCAATCAGAGCATAAAAGTCATTGATGCTTCCGGTTTCAGCAGCATGTTGTAGTCTCGGATCCATGGAGGGAGAGAGAGCTTTTGATCAGAAAACTCTGAATTCAAGAAAAATGTTTGTGATCTAAATTCAGCAAAAGGACAACAATTGCAGAAAATGTCTTTACCAAGAAGCTTCATAGCAAGAACCAACAAACAAATGTAAGAAACAATAAAGAAATATAGTTCAAAGACCGAAGAAACCACTTGTACATGTGAAGAAGAGACAATTTAAAAACAAGTGGGACTCTCTGATATGGCAGCTGGAGTTTTCTTCATGGTATTAAACTCATTTTATTTGACATTCACAACTTTGGCTCCCAAAGTCGTTCATAAGATTATGCTAATTTCCAAGGCTCACGCTTGATGAAGCATATAACGTACTAATTAGTAACATGTATATAGAAGCAAATTACATACGACATTATGGTGATACAAGAAGTCACAAGGGACATAACATATGTTTAATGTTTGCATTCTCAAAGTCCTCAATTGTTGAATCAAACCGTCCAAAAGCAGCTCAGTCGGGGATCAGGTGCCACTGCTGCCATTTCCATCAAGACAGAGAGGAAAAAGCAGGTACTAGGCAAAGCACACAGAGAGAACCAGTAAGGCATACTCGGTAGAGAAAGCCTCCCTTTGGCTCATTCTCTGGATCCCCCGGTAAGGACTTGGAGAAGTTCAAATCTATCATTCATAACACTCGCATCTTGGATACATTCAGGCAAAGTTATGAGGCACTCTACATCAAGATGGACACTAAGCACAGATTCTCATCAACCAAAGCATAAAAGTCACTGATACTACCGGATTCAGCAGCATCTTGAAGCCTTGGATAGTTGCAGGGATCCATAGAGAATGAGCTTTTGGCAGAAACCTAGAGGAAAGAACACTAATGAATGGGTTATTAAAGTTTGTTGCTTTCAAAGGTCCTATCCTCTCATTCTCCTTCGCTATTCCTCTTTTTATATAATTACTTTTTTGGTAATACCATTTCCCACAAGGATTAGACTAGTCGTCTTTATATATCCTCTCTCTGCATCTTTTTTAACACAAAAATCCAAAAGATCAAAAGCTAAATGTTGTCGAAGCTCCCTACACAGCGACAACACTTGCACCTCTCCCCCTCCTCCTCCATGGAAACCGTCGGGCGTCCACGTGGCAGACCTCGAGGTTCCAAAAACAAACCTAAAGCTCCAATCTTTGTCACCTACGACCCTCCTATGAGTCCTTACATCGTCGAAGTGCCTTCCGGAAACGACGTCGTTGAAGCCCTAAACCGTTTCTGCCGCCGTAAAGCCATCGGCTTTTGCGTCCTCAGTGGCTCAGGCTCCGTCGCTGATGTCACCTTGCGTCAGCCTTCTCCGGCAGCTCCTGGCTCAACCATTACTTTCCACGGCAAGTTTGATCTTCTCTCTGTCTCCGCCACTTTCCTTCCTCCTCCGCCTCGTACCTCCTTGTCCCCTCCCTTCTCTAATTTCTTCACCGTCTCTCTCGCCGGACCTCAAGGACAAGTCATCGGTGGATTCGTCGCCGGTCCTCTCGTTGCCGCCGGAACTGTTTACGTCGTCGCTACTAGTTTCAATAACCCTTCCTATCACCAGTTACCTGCGGCGGAGGAAGAGCAAAGAAACTCAGCGGAAGGGGAGGGCCAATCGCCGCCGGTCTCTGGAGGTGGTGGAGAGTCGATGTCCATGGGTGGCTCTGATGTCATTTGGGCTCCCAACGCCAAAGCTCCACCGTCGTACTGACCAAATCCATCTCTTTCCTATTAGGGTTTCTTCTACTTTTGATCATCAAGAATCAAGAATCAACAAAAAGTTTGCATTTTTAGTCTTGCTAGATTCTTTTTAATATCAGAATTGACTCACTCTTTAAGCTCTTAATCTCTCTCACACTTGTTCTTTAGCTTTTTCTGCAGTGTCAAACTTCACATATTAGTTTGATTTGACTATCCTCAAGTTTTGTATTTTAGAGATTATCAAACAAAATTTTGTCTGTCTCTAATGATTGTTTTTTCAATTTTATAATCTTATTGCATTGTTTATTGGATCTCCAGAGGTTGACTGTATAAAATATTGGTTTAATTGATTTCTCCAACAAGAAGACATCTCATGGTTTGTTGGTCTCTACCATAGGTTTTAACTAATCTTGGGCATAGAACGGATTATAAGACTTGAATTACAGTTGAACAAGTATAAGTGTATAACCAACGAATGTGTAAGATATCACAAACACTCTATATTGCAGCTGGTTTTTTCCTTCGTGGAGCTGATTTTGTCTCTTACAGCCATTGCGAGGGCGTAAGAGACGCTTAGAGATGCTCCTATATAAACAAACCATTGAGTCAACAAACCTCTAGCTGGTAAGAGACAAAAGGTGTAGAATATCTCGCAGCAGAAGCCTTTAGTGTTAGAAACCCATAGGACGATGAAGAATGTGTGTTTCATCACCGCATGACCATTGGATTGGTTTACACCTCCTGGAGGCTGGAGAGCGGTTTGGTAAGTGGCTGTGATAAGCAAAGTGCAAATAATCAAGAAAACTCCTCGAGCTTCGTCTGAAGTGTCAGAACTAATGCGTCTTGTGGAGAAGTCTGTTGCACCACCACGGAACCCGCATTCGCAAGGCTGGAGGGCAGTCTGATAAGTGGCTGTTATTATCAAAGTGCATACGACCAGGAAGACTCCACGAGCTTCATCTGAAATGTTAGACCTTAAACCTCTCATGATCGCGGAGCAGTATCTCCAGAAAGTGATTGGCGATTTCGAAAAATCAGACGTTGCCTCATTGTACCCTGTTGTTAGAACAACTTGTTCCAAATTTAAGTCCCAACCACCTTCGTTTTGTCCCTGGCTTCTTAAGATATCAAGGAATGTCAAACCATCTCCATTTACTTCGTTTCGCTCCAGAAACGGACAATCTAGTAACACCCTAACAGCCTGCAAAAAATAGATCATCATATCAGGAAACTCATTGGAAAAAACCAGTGACTAAGTGAAACCCACACGGAGTGAGTAGACAAAACAAAAGGTGAAATTTCACATGGAATGCACTCACATCTAAGAAATAATAAAGAAAAGACCCAAGAAATCTCATAGAAACCAATTGTTATTGCTTTCACCAACCACTTTAAGGATATCTATTCCCACAGGATGTTCATATCGGAGAAGAAACAACTAAAGCAAAAGAAAAGGGCAACAAGTGGGGCCTAACCAGACAACAAACCATATTATTACGTTGCAAGTGTGGGATTTAGTAAGCTAATTAGTTTGAATTTCGAGATCTAATTTTTGCCTGGGTTGAAGATTCTAGTAGACGTCTGAAGGAAAAAGATTTTAACATTTATATTAACTCACAAATAGATAAAAACTCACCTAGTCAAGGCTGAAATTGAGGAGCGTGCATCTATCGGCATTTTCTAAATCAATCTCTTTGCTTACGAACTCACCCCAACAAATCATCCATACAAGCATAATGATCCGCCGATGGATTTCTAATTGATTTGAATATTCTCTGGCCTTCTTCGAGTAATCCTGCACGGTTGCAAGCCCTCAAGACACTAGTGTAAGTCACACGGTCTGGCTCAATGCCTTCGTCTTTCATCTTTGAGAGTAAATTCAGCGTTTCAACCCCATCTCCATTAGCTGCAAAAGCTGTGAATAACGTGTTATAAGAGACAACATCTCTTTCCTTCATTTCGTCAAACACCCGTTTTGCTTCCCACAGGTTTCCACACCTTGCATACATGAAGATCAATGACCTGTATCCTGAATCATTAAGCTTGATTTGGTTCTTACCAATGTAATCTACAATGCAATCACCCAATTCTAGATCACCCATGTGTCCACAAGCTGATAGAACACTAATCATTGTTACTTCATCCGGTTTGGAATCTCCATAATCAATCATATCTTCGAAAAACTCAATGGCTAGTGCAGGTTGTCCGTTGTGAGCATACCCAGCTATCATCGAATTCCAAGAAACAACATTTCTCTTAGGCATTATATCAAAAAGCTGCCTAGCCGAATTCAAATCACCGATTCTAGTATAGCCAGAAATCATAGCATTCCATGTAACAAGATTCTTATGCGCACCTAATTCGTCGAAAATTCTTCTAGCAGATCGAATATCTCTGCACTTAGCATGCATATCAAGCAATGCTGTCTTCACAAAGCAATTCAAACGGACTCTCTTCTCACCAATCAATTTTACTAGTGAATGAGCGAGGGAAGGATCAGCACGGAAAGAACAAGCGGAAATAACAATAACCCATGTGGTCTCATTTGGCCTAACTCCAAGCCTCAACATATCATTAAAAAATCTCAGAGTTTCCTCAGTAAACCCATTTTGGGCATAACCTGAAAGCATAGCATTCCAAGAAACAACACTCTTCTCCGGCATCCGATCAAAACACCTCCTTGCATTTTCCAAATCCTTAAGCTTTGCAAAACCAGTAATCATCACCGTCCAAGAAACCACATCAATCTCATTCTTTGGCATCATATCAAACAATTTACAAGCTTCCTCCTTGTTCCCCCATTTCCAATACCCAGAAATCATCACATTCCAATCAGAACCCATTCTCTGAGTAATTTGATCGAACACTTTACGTGCACTCTCCACTGACTCATGCTTCGCATACATATCCATTATCACATTCCTCACATAAGGGTCCTTAAAAAATCCCAATTTCTCCACAAGAGCTTGAAACAGAACCCCAAATTTCCCAGCCGATTTGATCACAACAGGGAAAGAAAAAGCGTCAGGCATAATCCCACAACGCGATCTTTGTTCGTAGAGACGAAGAGCATCATTCGCCATATCCATCTGCGATAAGTATCTAAACATCGAATTGACGAGGAAGACATTGGGAAATGTCACTGAATCGAAAACGAGCCGCGCGTAGTAAGGCGGCGCACGGAGGCGCGTGCAGCAGCTGATTAAACGCGAAGCCCAGTAGCTTTGTCGATGGAGGGAATTGAAGACGATGAGCTGAGCATGGATTTGGTTTAACTGAGGAAATGTTAGAGCTTGTGAAGCTATGGCGGCAAGAGATACAGTGAGCTCTCGAGACATATATAGGAGCTTCACGTTCTCTTCCTCGTACGTATTTGTTTCGCATTCAAGGGGAAAAAGATTTTCTAAAATATAAGTTTATAAGTGAACATGATAAGCTCGTTTAGGCCCACGTTTTGGACATTAGGCCCATTAAATGTAGTATGATTTGTTGATGTATCAACATGCAGCATTAATCAATTGGTTAATCATTATTAATACCTTTTTAAAAGTATTACTAATAGTTAATCATTATAAAATTCACATTATGGTTTTTTATCCGATATTGATAATAATTTTGATAGTATATTTATGTACTCATCCTTCTAATTACACAAAAAAAAAAAAAAGCAGGACCATCTCTGATATATACCGACCAGATTAATCAGTCGCTTGTCTTGATTCCTCCTTAGGTATTGAATAAGGTCGTCTACATGTTATATTATCCAAAATAACATGGAGACAAGGTTTGGTTATTAATTTAGAAGACTAATAAATTAATTTGAGAGCCACAAGAAACTTCAAAAAGATACAAAATAGAGGCATGTGCATATCACCGTTTGTTTTTGCATGTATGAATGATTATAATGCATGATTAAAAGAACACAAACTATAAGGACCCAGGACCAGGAGCTTGTTCATATGCATTTAAAATACATATTTGTGTGTACTATATATTAACGCGATCATATAGAAAGAAAAAAAATCAAAAGCAAAACTTTTTTAATAATGTAATAAATAATTTTTTTTTTTTTTTTTTTTGTAATAAATAAAATTATCATAAGGAAATTAAAAAAAAAAAACAATGGCAGTAAATATGCATGTGATGATTAATTCGTTTTTGTTGGATGAGACATTTCAAGACCAAACAATAAAACAGCTCAGACGTGAGGTCTAAAGAGTGAAGATATTTGTCACAGAAAAGATTAAATATCTATATTTCGTTATGAATGCAACTAAATTTTTTAAAACAGATATGTTGTTTTACGACCAAGCTGCAATGATACAGTATATGTTTCGTTCAATAACAACTCACAACATATATAATTTTAATATAATAATTGGTCTCATATTAATAGACATGTAAATGTCAGAACCTGTAACATACTAGCATAATCTTACAGAGTTTAGACAATATTTTGTTGATCAGTGACGGCCACGTTGCAAGAACAATAAAATTGGCCGTTTTTTTTTCTTTTAAAAAATAACTAATATTATTGGCTTTTACCTTTAGGTACTTCTTGCCGATATTGAAGAAAAAAAAATTACTTGTTTTGGAGATAAGTATTTAAATAGATTTTTCGTTATCTATATTCTAAAGCTGGTTTCTTTTGTACTTTTTATCCCTGTTATAAATTGTTTTTTGTGTTAAAATTCGTATTTTTATTTTAAAAAAAAAAAAGACAGTGAAGAGGCGTGAGAAGAGTGAGGACTGGTTTTAGATCTGACAGAGAAAGACCAGAATAAGGAGAATCCCGAGCGTCACCGCTCCTTCCGACCCATTTTTCACTTTTTCACATTTCTTTTTGTGTCTTTTTTAATTTTATTCTTTATTTTTTTTATAAAAAAAAAACAAGAGAGCAATCACCGTGAATTTTTTGAATTTCTCACCAATCTCTTTCTTCATCTCTCACTCTCATCCTCGCTTTCGCTCTCATAGCTTCTGTTCTCTTAAAAAGATTCTTCGTCTTCTTTCAAATATTTGGTAACACCTGCGCAATTTCCGGTGTGACTCTACTTAATTAGTCGGAGAAGAAGATTACTTTCCTTCTATTTCATCGTCGTTTTTGGGGATTTCGATCGAAATGTTGTGTCTGAATACTTGAGAGGCCAAGGAGGAGGAGGAAGTCGAAAAGTGATTCTTTGTTTTCTGGAGAAAATAAAAAAATGTCGGGTTTAAGGATTTCGGATCCGAGCAAATTGCATCTGAAGAAGGAGCTTACTCAAATCAGGAAAGTTGCTGCTAAGGGTTTACGCGATCCCGGAACCACTTCCTCCTGGAAATCTCCTCTTACTTCGTCGAGATCCGTCGCTGAGCCGCCGGTGACGAGCAAGAACGTCGAGATTCTCAGTAATAATCAGTTGGATTCTCAGTTTCCAAGTAGTCGAGGATTTGGGAAGGAGAAGGGGAAGAAGGTGTTTTTGTACAATTGGAAGACTCAGAAAACTTCGAGCGGGAAGAGTGAGGGTGAAGATGGAACGTCTTGGATCCAAAGTAGTCTCAATGATGATGATGATGATGATGTGAGTGACGCGAGGAACGGTGGAGATTCGTGTCTTGGGGAAACTCGATCTGCGTCGATGGTTTTTAGATGCAGAGACACGAATCTTGTGTCGCCTGGTTTTTCAAAGTTTAGAAAGAATGGTTTTAGCAAGAAGAAGAGTAAGGAATTGGATTTGAGTATCGGAAGAAGAAGCTCTGCGAAATCTAGGAAATTTCCAAGTCATCATCTTCACGCTGCATCAGGTGAGGTATCTGATGAAACAGAGGATTTTAGCAACTGTGAGAATCCCACTAAAGTATCATCTCCTTTGCTTTTGAAACTAAGGCACAAGAACTGGTCACGCTCTTCGTCTAAGTTCTTGAGAGGTACTAGTAAGAGAGAGGATTCTTCTCTTACTTGTAACAGTACACCTGCATTGTCAACTAGCTCATACAATATGTATGGTATCCGTAATCCTAGTACCGTCGGGTCGTGGGAGGACGGTGATGATGAGTTGGATGATGATAACTTGGATTTTAAAGGGAGACAAGGTTGTGGGATTCCTTTTTATTGGACCAAGAGGAATCTGAAGCATAGAGGTGGGTGTAGGAGTTGTTGCTCACCTTCGTTTTCGGATACTCTTAGAAGGAAAGGGAGTAGCATTTTATGCGGGAGTCAATCGGCGTATCGTAGACATAGGCATTCCAATGGGAGATATAATAAACAGAAGCTTGCTTTAAGAAGTGCAAAGGGTGTTTTACCTTTGCTCAAATATGGTGGTGATAGTAGAGGAGGGTCATCTATAGGAATTGGGTGTAGTGATGATGATCTTTCTACTGATTTCGGAGAGCTTGATTTAGAAGCTCAAAGTAGATTAGATGGGAAGAAATGGTCTACTTGTTGTAAGAGTCAGGATGGGGAAAGAGAAGAGGAGGAAGAAGAAGGAAGTACACCGGAAAGTATCCAGAGCTTGAGCCAAAAGTACAAGCCAATGTTCTTTGATGAACTGATTGGGCAGAGTATTGTTGTTCAGTCGCTAATGAACGCTGTGAAAAAGGGTAGGATTGCTCATGTTTATCTTTTTCAAGGTCCTAGAGGAACTGGGAAGACATCTATCGCGAGAATTCTTTCGGCTGCCTTGAATTGTGATGTGGTGACTGAAGAAATGAAACCTTGTGGGTATTGTAAAGAATGCAGTGATTACATGCTAGGGAAAAGTAGGGATTTGCTGGAACTTGATGCTGGTAAGAAGAATGGAGCTGAGAAAGTTAGGTATCTTTTGAAAAAATTGTTGACATTAGCTCCACAGAGTTCTCCAAGATACAAGGTTTTTGTGATAGATGAGTGTCATTTATTACCATCTAGGACATGGCTTTCTTTACTCAAGTTTCTTGAGAACCCTCTGCAGAAAGTTGTCTTCATATGTATAACTACTGATCTTGACAATGTTCCTCGGACCATTCAGTCAAGGTGCCAGAAGTACCTCTTTAACAAACTCAGAGATGGTGACATTGTTGTGAGGCTAAGGAAAATTGCTTTAGATGAAAATCTAGATGTGGAATCGCAGGCGTTGGACCTGATTGCTTTGAATGCTGATGGCTCACTTCGAGATGCTGAAACTATGTTAGAGCAGTTGAGTTTGATGGGAAAACGAATCACCGTTGATCTTGTAAATGAGCTTGTAAGTTTTAGTGTTTGTTCTATGTTTCCTTTCCTTTGCATTCGGTAAAATTAGACCAATGAGTAATGTAAATGTGACTGCTGGTGTTTGTGCAGGTGGGTGTTGTTTCAGATGATAAATTGCTTGAACTCTTGGAATTAGCGTTGTCTTCTGACACGGCAGAGACTGTTAAGAAAGCTAGAGAGTTACTGGACTTAGGAGCTGATCCAATACTCATGATGTCTCAACTAGCTAGTCTTATCATGGATATCATTGCTGGAGCATACAAGGCTTTGGACGAAAAATATAGCGAAGCCTTTCTTGATAGACGGAACTGTGAGTATCAGAAACTTTAAAGTCATTAGTTCTGATTATTTTGAATGAAACTGCTAAGTACTGAAATCCACAGCGAGATGCAAAATGATCTTATAGTTTCTCTCGCACTAGAATGGTTTTCGACAAAATTTGGCTTATTGATTCCTTAAGCTCTGCTAGTTTCTCTTGACCGCTTTGTATTTGGCCAATCTTGTTCCGTTTTTTTTTTTGTAGTGACTGAAGCTGATTTGGAGAGACTTAAGCATGCTTTGAAACTTCTTTCTGAAGCTGAGAAACAGCTTAGAGTTTCTACTGATCGTTCGACATGGTTCATAGCTACCTTGCTGCAGCTTGGTTCAATGTCTTCTCCTGGAACCACACATACCGGTAGCAGTAGAAGGCAAAGCTCTAGAGCAACTGAAGAAAGCATTTCAAGAGAAGTTATTGCTTACAAACAGAGATCAGGTCTCCAATGTAGTAATTCAGCATCCCCAACATCCATGAGAAAAAGTGGAAACCTCGTTCATGAAGTGAAATTGTCCTCCTCATCTAGCGAAGTTTTAGAGAGTGAGACTTCCATTGCCTCGCATGACGATACAACAGCAAGCACCATGACACTTACTTGCAGAAATTCAGAGAAACTAAATGATATCTGGATAAAGTGTGTCGATAGATGTCATTCGAAGACGTTGAAGCAGCTTCTATATGCTCATGGGAAGCTTTTATCTATCAGTGAAGTTGAAGGTAAGCCTTAAAATTCTCTAAATCACTTTACACTTTAAGGAAAACTCAAGCAATTGCATACTAATAGAATTTTCTTTGCAGGTATACTAGTTGCTTATATTGCATTTGGAGAAGGAGATATCAAAGCGAGAGCTGAAAGGTTTGTAA